ATGACAGGTGATCCCACAATATGACAACCACTGAAGTAATCACTGCACCATGTTAGGTGAAGATGACAGATGATCCCACAATATAACAACCACTGAAGTAACCACTGCACCATGTTAGGTGAAGATGACAGATGATCCCACAATATAACAACCACTGAAGTAACCACTGTGCCATGTTGGGTGAAGATGACAGGTGATCCGAAATATATGACAACCACTGAAGTAACCACTGTGCCATGTTGGGTGAAGATGACAGGTGATCCCACAATATGACAACCACTGAAGTAACCACTGTGCCATGTTGGGTGAAGATGACAGGTGATCCCACAATATGACAACCACTGAAGTAACCACTGTGCCATGTTGGGTGAAGATGACAGGTGATCCCACAATATGACAACCACTGAAGTAACCACTGTGCCATGTTGGGTGAAGATGACAGGTGATCCCACAATATGACAACCACTGAAGTAACCACTGTGCCATGTTGGGTGAAGATGACAGGTGATCCCACAATATGACAACCACTGAAGTAACCACTGTGCCATGTTGGGTGAAGATGACAGGTGATCCCACAATATGACAACCACTGAAGTAACCACTGTGCCATGTTGGGTGAAGATGACAGATGATCCCACAATATGACAACCACTGAAGTAACCACTGCACCATGTTAGGTGAAGATGACAGGTGATCCCACAATATGACAACCACTGAAGTAACCACTGTGCCATGTTGGGTGAAGATGACAGGTGATCCCACAATATGACAACCACTGAAGTAACCACTGCACCATGTTAGGTGAAGATGACAGGTGATCCCACAATATGACAACCACTGAAGTAACCACTGTGCCATGTTGGGTGAAGATGACAGGTGATCCCACAATATGACAACCACTGAAGAAACCACTGCACCATGTTAGGTGAAGATGACAGGTGATCCCACAATATGACAACCACTGAAGTAATCACTGCACCATGTTGGGTGAAGGTGACAGGTGATCCGACAATATGACAACCACTGAAGAAACCACTGCACCATGTTAGGTGAAGATGACAGGTGATCCCACAATATGACAACCACTGAAGTAATCACTGCACCATGTTGGGTGAAGGTGACAGGTGATCCGACAATATGACAACCACTGAAGTAACCACTGCAGGTGATCCCACAATATGACAACCACTGAAGAAACCACTGCACCATGTTTGGTGAAGATGACAGGTGATCCCACAATATGACAACCACTGAAGTAACCACTGCACCATGTTAGGTGAAGATGACAGGTGATCCCACAATATGACAACCACTGAAGTAACCACTGTGCCATGTTGGGTGAAGATGACAGGTGATCCCACAATATGACAACCACTGAAGTAACCACTGCACCATGTTAGGTGAAGATGACAGGTGATCCCACAATATGACAACCACTGAAGTAACCACTGTGCCATGTTGGGTGAAGATGACAGGTGATCCCACAATATGACAACCACTGAAGAAACCACTGCACCATGTTAGGTGAAGATGACAGGTGATCCCACAATATGACAACCACTGAAGTAATCACTGCACCATGTTGGGTGAAGGTGACAGGTGATCCAACAATATGACAACCACTGAAGTAATCACTGCGCCATGTTAGGTGAAGGTGACAGGTGATCCCACAATATGACAACCACTGAAATGACCAGTGTGAAATGATTGTTCGGCACGAGGTAGGTGACTGCAGACTGTTGTGTTGACGAATGGAGGGTGTTTTTCTAGGACATATCGACTACGCCCATGAATCTATTTCCGGCATTCTACTCGGATATCTCAAGAATGTACTCATCGCATAATGCACTAATCGTACAAATGATCAATGGAAAAGTGTAGTTGTCTATTACTCATCTCGTGTTCACACTCAGTGGAATGTGTTTCAGCAGGCAATCGAGATGGAATATTTTCTGTCTGTGATATTTCACATCAGCATAATACTTAGGCCAGGCGATTTGTTGTTTGTTCTCCGTGTGTGGAGAGGTAATACAAGTAGCAAACAAAGGATGAACGCACGATGGTATTCTCCACTGTGATTTTCAACCATTGTTGTGTGTTGAACATATTATACGATGACAAAGCAGACACAATTTATTTAGTTCTTTTATACTGTAAAGGCGACGTTACAGTATTAAAGAAGTTGTTATCCATAAATTGTGTCTACTTTGTCATCCGTCAACTTCTAAGTAATGCCTATCAAACAAGTCATATTATACGATGCTTCACACAACCCTGACCTTAGATGAGACATCGCCTGGTGACGCTTGACGGCCAAAAGGGCGTTCTCAATTATGTTTGCTTCTCAACACCCAGTTTTCTCTGGTTTTCCCAGAGGGGCGGTGAAAAAAAGAAAAATAAGTGAAAATATTTTTTTTATTGCAGAATACCTATTCCAAATGGTAAAACCAAGCGGCTAACGTACACTCTCAAAAATGTGAGTGAGTGAGTGAGTGAGTATGGTTTTACGCCGCTTTTAGCAATATTCCAGCAATATCGCGGCGGGGGAACCAGAAATGGGCTTCACACATTGTACCCATGTTGGGAATCGAACCCGGGTCTTCGGCGTGACGAGCGAACGCTTTAACCACTAGGCTACCCGACCACCCCCTCAAAGATTTGACGATCTAGACCAAATAGTTGACAATTTAAACATATGTCTGATCTTCTATCAAGAGTAACTTGAACTCGTAAACCGGAAATTAAGCGCTTTGTGGGAAAGGATCTCAGAGGAAAGGACGTGTGGACAAAACAGAAACCAGCCACATGAAGTCATAGTGCAGCTAAACACAGTCTTACCATTCAGCTACTTTAAGTGAATCAGTTCTAAAAACACTTTATCATTAAACAAATATGCATCCTCTTACATGCAGTCTCGGTCAACATGGAACAGGATACTATCTTTTAAATTTACTGAGGGAAATACTTTCTACAGAGGCTAGCGTAGATAGTTTCTCAGATAGGTTATTTCTTTACTTAATTAGAATGACAGACGGGCCTGATCTAGTGAAGTTGAAATTTTACACACAAAAATACAAATCATCCTTTCCTAAGGGAAGCCGCGTTCATCCTTTAAAAGCATTTATAATATTAAATATTACAATATTTACATGCATGTAATGTCACATGCTGGGTTTTTTCAATTTTCACAAATGAAAAAATGGCCAATACATTTAACGTGCCAAAAAACTACATCTCACAAAGGTCTCTCCAATTCTAGAACTATTTAATATCATATGCATTGATGAAACGGAGGTTTCTGGAAATATATTTGAATCGGAATGTCCTGAGTCTTCCTGAAATAGTTAGCCACAACATCCAGAGACTCTTAAAGAAACATGCCTACATTGATGTAGTTTTCAAGAGAAGTCACACCATTCAGAACACAAGTAAAGCCACAGGGAAACACCATCTAGCTACGAGGAAGAGTGAGTGAGTAGGCCTCACCACCAACCTCAAAGACTTCAAAAAGACTCCAACCGTCAATCAACCGTGACCAAGGATATTACATTCCACCGGCGTATCATCAACTCATCAAAGACCCCATTCAGTCATTATTCTTTTGTTGTTTATATTTCTGACTTCACCCTTTGTTCATATTACAGGCTTCACCGGCCAATATGATTTACAAGTCTGTGTACATAACAGACTTCTCCACTCCAGTGTAACTACCTCTGATATAATTTACTTTATAAACACTGCCTCCTATCCTGTATATATACTTGTCAGACATACTCTGTACATCACTTGCTTGATAACGGTGTTAGAACCTACACCGAAACGTCGCTCCTAATTATAATTAAGAAGTTGTTCATCCATATATCTTATCCTTACTTAGTACTCCAACTTCCAAATGCCTCTCAAAGAAGGAACAGATTTATTTGCTTCGGCATAACGTCATATACGACTTCATCTTCGCCGTAACGTCATGTACTACCTCATCAATGACACCACACACATTGCCCACGTCTTCTGACAAGTTGTCAAGGTCGTGTCGGCTAACAAGGCTCCCCGCATGTGTGTACCACACAGTGACACTCGCCTCTCACCATGTTCATCTAATGTTGCTCTTGTGCCGAAGTTTCGTAAAATCCCAATCTGGCATTCCAGCGTTCACAAAGACAACAGAGCCGATGCCATGAATGTGCAGGCTTGTTATGCAACACGTAGAAAATAATGTCCCCCGTTGTCTTGCTTGTCTGATAATTTAGACGTGTTACGTAGTTTACCAATAAGACGAACACAAACTCAAATAACCACTAGACTTCCCCAGATGTGTACACACAGCCGGAATGGCATCAGCATTTAACCCTGCCAATGCCTTCACATAGTGGATGTTATGACTGAGTGAGTATGGTTTTACGCCGCTATTAGCAATATTCCAGCAATACCACGGCGGGGGACACCAGTAATAGGCGACACATTTTACCAATGTTGGGAATCAAACCGGTCTTCTTCGTGACGAGCGAACGCTTTAACCACCAGGCTGCGCCACCGCCCCGGCTGTTACGTAAGTCACGTGCAGCCTATTACTTGCCGTGAGAGGCCACGTGATTGCATCTTGTGGTTTGTTTTGTTTGTTTGGTGCTTAACGCCGCACTTAGGAATATTCCAGTTATATGACGGCGGTCTGTAAATAATCTAGTCTGGGCAAGACAGTCCATTGATTGACATCATGAGCATCGATCTATGCAACTGGGATACGATGACATGCATCAACCAAGTCAGCGAGCCTGACCACCCGATCCCGTTAATCGACTCTTTCGACCAGCATGGCCACCTGTTACGGCAAGCATGGGTTGCTGAAGACATGGTCATGTGTGGTCATGTATAGTGACTTGATTGACGGCGTGTCAATGTACACCCATGTACACAATGTTGCTCATGATATCAACCACTGTCGTCACGAGATACATTACCTACTTGCAATGGATTGTAAGGAAAGAGAGTAAAGCAGAAAATAGAAAATAAACTTTATTTAACTCAGATATCAAAAGTACAAATATAAAAAACAGTTTATGTACAAGTACTTTTATATACATAAGTAGGATACTGACACGGTATGGAACCTGTGTCTAGGCAACGGCCCTAACAACCAGGAGTATTGGTTGTCAGGGTGATTGTGGTCAGTGTGAGGGAGTACGATATGTGTGATCTGTACACAGATCGGTTTATACAGAGGGCATGCACTTGAGGTAATCCTCGCATCGGTAACTGTGGGGATAATCTGGAATGTTGACCAGTTGTCAACCTCCAGGAAATCCATGAGCAATGAACAGGGAGATCTAGTCTTGGTGTCAGCCGTGGACCCGCAGTCCGCCAAACACATCCGGTTTCGATCCACAGACTTCCGGTCGTCCACACGGCGAGCATTGGTTCCGGTGTTCCAGCCCGCACAGACAGCCTTCGTTCTGGCAACATGCGCAGTCGGTCCGCGAGGGGTCGAAGGCGCACTGACACCCGGTGAGTGACAGGGTCCACCCGTCCACCCCGTTCTCAGGGGACGTCTGACCTGCAACACAATCAATACAGTACTATATGACGTACTACACAAACAAAACAGTATTATATGACGTACTACACAAACAATACAGTATCATATGACGTACTACACATTCAATACAGTATTATATGACGTACTACACAAACAATACAGTATCATATGACGTACTACACAAACAATACAGTATTATATGACGTACTACACAAACAATGCAGTATTATGTGAAGTACTACACAAACAATAAAGTATTATATGGCGTACTACACGATTAATGCAGTATTATGTAAAGTACTACTCAAACAATACAGTATGACATGACGTACTGCTCAAACAATTTAGCATGACATGACGTACTACACAAATAAGAGTGTGACGTACTACACACACACACGCACACATTGCATCACACTTTCATGGCTGTGAAACAACATACATTCTCTCACTTCAGATCACAGGACTTCTTGTATGTTTTAGTATACAGACTTGATCGTAACGGTATTCGCAATAGCTTGACATGTCGAAGGCCTGAGTTTGATTCCCGCAAGGGAACAATGTGACGATATTGTGTAATGCTCATTTCTGGTACCCCTCGGGCTCTAATATCGCTACACACCTACACACTTACACACTTACACACTTACACACTTTCACACTTACACACTTACACACCTACACACTTACACACCTACACACTTTCACACTTACACACTTACACACCTACACACTTACACACTTACACACTTACACACCTACACACCTTCACACTTACACACCTACACACTTTCACACTTTCACACTTACACACTTACACACCTACACACTTACACACTTTCACACTTACACACCTACACACTTACACACCTACACACTTACACACTTACACACCTACACACTTACACACACACCTACACACTTACACACCTACACACTTACACACCTACACACTTACACACCTACACACCTACACACTTACACACTTACACACTTACACACCTACACACTTTCACACTTTCACACTTACACACTTACACACTTACACACTTACACACCTACACACTTACACACCTACACACTTACACACCTTCACACTTACACACTTACACACTTACACACCTACACACGTACACACTTACACACTTACACACCTACACACTTACACACCTACACACTTACACACCTACACACTTACACACCTACACACCTACACACTTACACACATACACACATACACACTTACACACTAACACACCTACACACTACACACTTGTGACACTATTGGTCGTGAGACTAGGGACTGTGGGTGTGAGAGGTGATGTAACGACTATGTCCCCAGCCGCCATCTGTCTTCAGGGACAACTCACGTGTGCCGCACAGGCGGGCTTCCTGACTGCACAGGGCGCACTGGTTGGGGTTCGGATCCGGGCACTGACAGGCACCAGCCTCACAACACGCGCAGTCGGTCCGGTTCTTGTCGAAAAAGCATGGACAGCCAGTCTGGTTGCTGGAAACGAAATAGAGAAATGAAGCACGCGTCAGACAACTGGAGCCACGGTGTCTCGCACACCCGACGTTGTGTTGACACAGACGTAGAGCTGAGAACCAGGCAGGCTTCCCTTGAGAGATCGTCACACACACCTTGTCAGTAATGAAGAACACTACATATTTCTATAGCCATTTGTTTCAAATTGTATCCTGTATTTATTTCTGAAGTAAAGTATTTGGGTTTGTTTACAAGCTAACACACTCCAGAAATGACAGAAATCAGAAACAGTTGCATCTATCCATGTCAGTAGTCATGGCGACCGCTTCTGATGCTCCATATGACGAGTCAGTACGTCCCTCTGGAGGAACAATGTTCCTACACTACCTTACACGCCAGGCATCTGAAGTATCTTAGACATTTATCAAAATGAAGTCAGTATCATGTCTATAATGAATAAAAGCAAGGACGTTTAACTTTGTTCCAAGAGTAAATGGTGAAAGTAGAAGTTGAAATCCCTGCTTTGAATAGCATGTCGTCAGAGGAACTCCGTGGTAGCATGTGTGGCATAATATGTTCATACATATCTGTAGAGGGTTGTGATATTTCCTATACGAATATATTATGCTCTACACATATCATCGAGTTCCTGTATATAGGTGCACAACCAGCCACCGAGAAACTGGAGATGTGTGAACATAGACACAGCAAGACTTCTACCCACAACCAGCCACCTCCCGTCACCCCCAGGAAGACTACATGGCCGTGGAACTAACATCTCAATGGAAGGATGTCCTGGCCACACTCACCTGGTCCAGATGTCCCATCTGTCGAATCTGTTGTTGGTAGGAAGGCATGGCGCTGGGAAGGCCGCGAGTCTTGACACTGGAGAGACGTGACAACGCAACATTCACATGATGTACACTTTTATATACATTTGTGAAGGTTTATATATCCAGTTCGTCAAGTTATTGTGGTGTCACCAACATTGGCAAAGTATCAATTAAGTTAGATGATAAATTGCTTATTAGAGCTTTATGCAAATGTGTGTCATCACACAATTGTAATGTACATTTTAGACGTAGAGGAGCAGAAGGTGTAACGAGAATCTGTGAAAACTGCCAATTTCGGGCGATTTAGGATTAATTTCATGTTTCATTAATATGTAAAAGTATGAGAAAGGAATATTCCCACATATATGCACAGAAACAAGATGTTAATGATCAGTCTTATAAAATCGAACAACTATGCTGTTATACGTCCACTGGCCATATTGTTGAAATATATATTCTCTGTCACTTTTTTGTATATCACATATCACGTAAGTAAACAAATGACAGTGAAATGTCATCTGTACAAAGAGCCATGTGGCCTTACACAAACTGTCTGTCTGTCCGTCCGATTATAAAGATGGGGTATCAACACACATCTGTCGTCAAACTAGACACAGCAAGACCTCCACGTAATTGGGATACGATGACATGCATCAACCAAGTCAGCGAGCCTGACCACCCGATCCCATTAGTCGCCTCTTATGACAAGCATCGTCCGGATCTTCAAGGGTCGTTTGTTACGTGTAGGAAAGACACGCTTCAGCTAGCAGTTGGGTGAGTGAGAGTTTAACGTGGCTGTGACCAGTATTGAAGTTATATCAGCGTGTCAGCTTGTGATGCAGTCTTAGGTGTTAACTACGAGCACGGTGAGGTGCTGACACACCTGGAATAATCCGCAGAACTCTTGGACTCGAACTCCTAACAGACACAACGTTGTCTGCCACGGTTAAATCACGTAATTCTGTGAACATCTCGGTGTTTTATCCGGCTGGACCTAGGTGCCGTTGAACATAACAATCTTAGCGCTGTGACTGTCGTTAGTCTATGTACAGGTATGGGAGTTACGATCACCTAAGCGCTAAGATCGCTCTGTACAACGGCACCTGCCCGCCAGTGAAGACATATCAGGAAGACAAGACAGTAAGCGTGACATATCCCTGCATGAACTGCACGAGCTGCACGCGCTGGTGCCCCACTCACGTGACGAGGTCCATCTCTCCTGGTCTCTATCCGGGTCACACAGCTCCGAGGGGTTCCTCGGGTTCTCCTCACGTGCACGTCTGCACGTGCCTTCTATGAGACATGTATCGTTCTGAAATAAATAGCATGTCCACATGAAGCACGTGTTGTTCCGACTGTTATTAACATGCGTCTTATTCATACACTGTCCTATTCATTTTATACAGAGTTATACGTGGATTTGAACATAAATTGGCCGGCAAAAGGAAATATTGCCCACGTGCGAAGGTGGCTGAATATGAAACAAAGAAGCAATTCGATGATGATGTATTTGAAAGGGCATTCAGCCAAGGAACGTATGGATAACATTTGTAATGCTTTGGTTAAATCCTATTTTCAAGTGTATACTGTCATTGTTTATATGCCTGTTCGCGAGAGAGAGAGAGAGAGAGAGAGAGAGAGAGAGAGAGAGAGAGAGAGAGAGAGAGAGATTCCACACTGCACACTGGCTCATCCTGTCACAGGCGAGACACACCTACCCTGATGCCACACTGGCCCATTCTGTTACAGGCGAGACACCTACCCTGATGCCACACTGGCCCATCCTGTTACAGGCGAGACACCTACCCTGATGCCACAATGGCCCATCCTGTTACAGGCGAGACACCTACCCTGATGCCACACTGGCCCATCCTGTTACAGGCGAGACACACCTACCCTGATGCCACACTGGCCTATCCTGTCAGGCGATACACACCTACCCTGATGCCACACTGGCCCATCCTGTTACAGGCGAGACACACCTACCTTGATGCCACACTGGCCCATCCTTTTACAGGCGAGACACACCTACCCTAATGCCACACTGGCCCATCCTGTTACAGGCGAGACACACCTACCCTGATGCCACACTGGCCCATCCTGTCAGGCGAGACGCACCTACCCTGATGCCACACTGGCCAATCCTGTTACAGGCGAGACACACCTACCCTGATGCCACACTGGCCCATCCGGTTATAGGCGAGACACACCTACCCTGATGCCACACTGGCCCATCCTGTTACAGGCGAGACACACCTACCCTGATGCCACACTGGCCCATCCGGTTATAGGCGAGACACACCTACCCTGATGCCACACTGGCCCATTCTGTTACAGGCGAGACACACCTACCCTGATGCCACACTGGCCCATCCTGTTACAGGCGAGACACTCCTACCCTGACGCCACACTGGCCCATTCTGTTACAGGCGAGACACACCTACCCTGATGCCACACTGGCCCATTCTGTCAGGCGAGACACACCTACCCTGATGCCACACTGACCCATCCTGTTACAGGCGAGATACACCTACCCTGATGCCACACTGACCCATCCTGTTACAGGCGAGACACACCTACCCTGATGCCACACTGGCCCATTCTGTCAGGCGAGACACACCTACCCTGATGCCACACTGACCCATTCTGTCACAGGCGAGACACACCTACCCTGATGCCACACTGACCCATCCTGTTACAGGCGAGACACACCTACCCTGATGCCACTATGACCCATCCTGTTACAGGCGAGACACCTACCCTGATGCCACACTGACCCATCCTGTTACAGGCGAGACACACCTACCCTGATGCCACACTGGCCAATCCTGTTACAGGCGAGACACCTACCCTGATGCCACACTGACCCATCCTGTTACAGGCGAGACACACCTACCCTGATGCCACACTGGCCCATCCTGTTACAGGCGAGACACCTACCCTGATACCACACTGACCCATCCTGTTACAGGCGAGACACACCTACCCTGATGCCACACTGACCCATCCTGTTACAGGCGAGACACCTACCCTGATGCCACACTGGCCCATCCTGTTACAGGCGAGACACACCTACCCTGATGCCACACTGACCCATCCTGTTACAGGCGAGACACCTACCCTGATACCACACTGGCCCATCCTGTTACAGGCGAGACACACCTACCCTGATGCCACACTGGCCCATTCTGTCAGGCGAGACACACCTACCCTGATGCCACACTGACCCATTCTGTCACAGGCGAGATACACCTACCCTGATGCAACACTGACCCATCCTGTTACAGGCGAGACACACCTACCCTGATGCCACACTGGCCCATCCGGTTATAGGCGAGACACACCTACCCTGATGCCACACTGGCCCATCCTGTTACAGGCGAGACACACCTACCCTGATGCCACACTGGACCATCCGGTTATAGGCGAGACACACCTACCCTGATGCCACACTGGCCCATTCTGTTACAGGCGAGACACACCTACCCTGATGCCACACTGGCCCATCCTGTTACAGGCGAGACACACCTACCCTGATGCCACACTGGCCCATTCTGTTACAGGCGAGACACACCTACCCTGATGCCACACTGGCCCATTCTGTCAGGCGAGACACACCTACCCTGATGCCACACTGACCCATCCTGTTACAGGCGAGACACCTACCCTGATGCCACACTGACCCATCCTGTTACAGGCGAGACACACCTACCCTGATGCCACACTGGCCCATCCTGTTACAGGCGAGACACCTACCCTGATACCACACTGACCCATCCTGTTACAGGCGAGACACACCTACCCTGATGCCACACTGACCCATCCTGTTACAGGCGAGACACCTACCCTGATGCCACACTGGCCCATCCTGTTACAGGCGAGACACACCTACCCTGATGCCACACTGACCCATCCTGTTACAGGCGAGACACCTACCCTGATACCACACTGGCCCATCCTGTTACAGGCGAGACACACCTACCCTGATGCCACACTGGCCCATTCTGTCAGGCGAGACACACCTACCCTGATGCCACACTGACCCATTCTGTCACAGGCGAGATACACCTACCCTGATGCAACACTGACCCATCCTGTTACAGGCGAGACACACCTACCCTGATGCCACACTGGCCCATCCGGTTATAGGCGAGACACACCTACCCTGATGCCACACTGGCCCATCCTGTTACAGGCGAGACACACCTACCCTGATGCCACACTGGACCATCCGGTTATAGGCGAGACACACCTACCCTGATGCCACACTGGCCCATTCTGTTACAGGCGAGACACACCTACCCTGATGCCACACTGGCCCATCCTGTTACAGGCGAGACACACCTACCCTGATGCCACACTGGCCCATTCTGTTACAGGCGAGACACACCTACCCTGATGCCACACTGGCCCATTCTGTCAGGCGAGACACACCTACCCTGATGCCACACTGACCCATCCTGTTACAGGCGAGATACACCTACCCTGATGCCACACTGGCCCATCCTGTTACAGGCGAGACACACCTACCCTGATGCCACACTGGCCCATTCTGTCAGGCGAGACACACCTACCCTGATGCCACACTGACCCATTCTGTCACAGGCGAGACACACCTACCCTGATGCCACACTGACCCATCCTGTTACAGGCGAGACACACCTACCCTGATGCCACACTGACCCATCCTGTTACAGGCGAGACACCTACCCTGATGCCACACTGACCCATCCTGTTACAGGCGAGACACACCTACCCTGATGCCACACTGGCCAATCCTGTTACAGGCGAGACACCTACCCTGATGCCACACTGACCCATCCTGTTACAGGCGAGACACACCTACCCTGATGCCACACTGGCCAATCCTGTTACAGGCGAGACACCTACCCTGATGCCACACTGACCCATCCTGTTACAGGCGAGACACACCTACCCTGATGCCACACTGGCCCATTCTGTCAGGCGAGACACACCTACCCTGATGCCACACTGACCCATTCTGTCACAGGCGAGATACACCTACCCTGATGCAACACTGACCCATCCTGTTACAGGCGAGACACACCTACCCTGATGCCACACTGGCCCATCCGGTTATAGGCGAGACACACCTACCCTGATGCCACACTGGCCCATCCTGTTACAGGCGAGACACACCTACCCTGATGCCACACTGGACCATCCGGTTATAGGCGAGACACACCTACCCTGATGCCACACTGGCCCATTCTGTTACAGGCGAGACACACCTACCCTGATGCCACACTGGCCCATCCTGTTACAGGCGAGACACACCTACCCTGATGCCACACTGGCCCATTCTGTTACAGGCGAGACACACCTACCCTGATGCCACACTGGCCCATTCTGTCAGGCGAGACACACCTACCCTGATGCCACACTGACCCATCCTGTTACAGGCGAGATACACCTACCCTGATGCCACACTGGCCCATCCTGTTACAGGCGAGACACACCTACCCTGATGCCACACTGGCCCATTCTGTCAGGCGAGACACACCTACCCTGATGCCACACTGACCCATTCTGTCACAGGCGAGACACACCTACCCTGATGCCACACTGACCCATCCTGTTACAGGCGAGACACACCTACCCTGATGCCACACTGACCCATCCTGTTACAGGCGAGACACCTACCCTGATGCCACACTGACCCATCCTGTTACAGGCGAGACACACCTACCCTGATGCCACACTGGCCAATCCTGTTACAGGCGAGACACCTACCCTGATGCCACACTGACCCATCCTGTTACAGGCGAGACACACCTACCCTGATGCCACACTGGCCAATCCTGTTACAGGCGAGACACCTACCCTGATGCCACACTGACTCATCCTGTTACAGGCGAGACACACCTACCCTGATGCCACACTGGCCCATCCTGTTACAGGCGAGACACCTACCCTGATACCACACTGACCCATCCTGTTACAGGCGAGACACACCTACCCTGATGCCACACTGACCCATCCTGTTACAGGCGAGACACACCTACCCTGATGCCACACTGGCCCATCCTGTTACAGGCGAGACACACCTACCCTGATGCCACACTGACCCATCCTGTTACAGGCGAGACACCTACCCTGATGCCACACTGGCCCATCCTGTTACAGGCGAGACACACCTACCCTGATGCCACACTGGCCCATTCTGTCAGGCGAGACACACCTACCCTGATGCCACACTGACCCATTCTGTCACAGGCGAGATACACCTACCCTGATGCAACACTGACCCATCCTGTTACAGGCGAGAAACACCTACCCTGATGCCACACTGGCCCATCCTGTTACAGGCGAGACACCTACCCTGATGCCACACTGACCCATCCTGTTACAGGCGAGACCCACTTACCCTGATGCCACACTGGCCCATCCTGTTACAGGCGAGACACCTACCCTGATGCCACACTGACCCATCCTGTAACAGGCGAGACACACCTACCCTGATGCCACACTGACCCATCCTGTTACAGGCGAGACACCTACCCTGATGCCACACTGGCCCATCCTGTTACAGGCGAGACACACCTACCCTGATGCCACACTGACCCATCCTGTTACAGGCGAGACACCTACCCTGATGCCACACTGGCCCATCCTGTTACAGGCGAGACACACCTACCCTGATGCCACACTGGCCCATTCTGTCAGGCGAGACACACCTACCCTGATGCCACACTGACCCATTCTGTTACAGGCGAGACACACCTACCCTGATGCCACACTGACCCATCCTGTTACAGGCGAGACACTCCTACCCTGATGCCACACTGGCCCATCCTGTTACAGGCGAGACACCTACCCTGATGCCACACCGACCCATCCTGTTACAGGCGAGACACACCTACCCTGATGCCACACTGACCCATCCTGTTACAGGCGAGACACCTACCCTGATGCCACACTGGCCCATCCTGTTACAGGCGAGACACACCTACCCTGATGCCACACTGACCCATCCTGTTACAGGCGAGACACCTACCCTGATGCCACACTGGCCCATCCTGTTACAGGCGAGACACACCTACCCTGATGCCACACTGGCCCATCCTGTTACAGGCGAGACACACCTACCCTGATGCCACACTGGCCCATCCTGTTACAGGCGAGACACCTACCCTGATGCCACACTGACCCATCCTGTAACAGGCGAGACACACCTACCCTGATGCCACACTGACCCATCCTGTTACAGGCGAGACACCTACCCTGATGCCACACTGGCCCATCCTGTTACAGGCAAGACACACCTACCCTGATGCCACACTGACCCATCCTGTTACAGGCGAGACACCTACCCTGATGCCACACTGGCCCATCCTGTTACAGGCGAGACACACCTACCCTGATGCCACACTGGCCCATTCTGTCAGGCGAGACACACCTACCCTGATGCCACACTGACCAATTCTGTCACAGGCGAGATACACCTACCCTGATGCCACACTGACCCATCCTGTTACAGGCGAGACACCTACCCTGATGCCACACTGGCCCATCCTGTTACAGGCAAGACACACCTACCCTGATGCCACACTGGCCCATCCTGTTACAGGCGAGACACACCTACCCTGATGCCACACTGGCCCATCCTGTTACAGGCGAGACACACCTACCCTGATGCCACACTGACCCATCCTGTTACAGGCGAGACACACCTACCCTGATGCCATACTGGCCCATCCTGTTACAGGCGAGACACCTACCCTGATGCCACACCGACCCATCCTGTTACAGGCGAGACACACATACCCTGATGCCACACTGACCCATCCTGTTACAGGCGAGACACCTACCCTGATGCCACACTGGCCCATCCTGTTACAGGCGAGACACACCTACCCTGATGCCACACTGACCCATCCTGTTACAGGCGAGACACCTACCCTGATGCCACACTGGCCCATCCTGTTACAGGCGAGACCCACCTACCCTGATGCCACACTGGCCCATCCTGTTACAGGCGAGACACACCTACCCTGATGCAACACTGGCCCATCCTGTTACAGGCGAGACACACCTACCCTGATGCCACACTGGCCCATCCTGTTACAGGCGAGACACACCTACCCTGATGCCACACTGACCCATCCTGTTACAGGCGAGACACCTACCCTGATGCCACACTGGCCCATCCTGTTACAGGCGAGACACCTACCCTGATGCCACACTGGCCCATCCTGTTACAGGCGAGACACACCTACCCTGATGCCACACTGGCCCATCCTGTTACAGGTGACACACCTACCCTGATGCCACACTGGCCCATCCTGTTACAGGCGAGACACACCTACCCTGATGCCACACTGGCCCATCCTGTTACAGGTGACACACCTACCCTGATGCCACACTGGCCCATCCTGTTACAGGCGAGACACCTACCCTGATGCCACACTGGCCCATCCTGTTACAGGCGAGACACCTACCCTGATGCCACACTGGCCCATCCTGTTACAGGCGAGACACACCTACCCTGATGCCACACTGGCCCATCCTGTTACAGGCGAGACACACCTACCCTGATGCCACACTGGCCCATCCTGTTACAGGCGATATACACCTACCCTGATGCCACACTGGCCCATCCTGTTACAGGCAAGACACACCTACCCTGATGCCACACTGGCCCATCCTGTTACAGGCGAGATACACCTACCCTGATGCCACACTGGCCCATCCTGTTACAGGTAACACACCTACACTGATGCCACACTGGCCCATCCTGTTACAGGTAACACACCTACACTGATGCCACACTGGCCCATCCTGTTACAGGTGACACACCTACTCTGATGCCACACTGGCCCATCCTGTTACAGGTAACACACCTACCCTGATGCCACACTGGCCCATCCTGTTACAGGTGACACACCTACCCTGATGCCACACTGGCCCATCCTGTTACAGGCGAGATACACCTACCCTGATGCCACACTGGCCCATCCTGTTACAGGCGAGACACACCTACCCTGATGCCACACTGGCCCATCCTGTTACAGGCGAGACACCTACCCTGATGCCACACTGGCCCATCCTGTTACAAGCGAGATACACCTCTCCTGATGCCACACTGGCCCATCCTGTTACAGGCGAGATACACCTACCCTGATGCCACACTGGCCCATCCTGTTACAGGTGACACACCTACCCTGATGCCACACTGGCCCATCCTGTTACAGGCGAGACACCTACCCTGATGCCACACTGGCCCATCCTGTTACAGGTGACACACCTACCCTGATGCCACACTGGCCCATCCTGTTACAGGTGACACACGTACCCTGATGCCACACTGGCCCATCCTGTTACAGGCGAGACACCTACCCTGATGCCACACTGGCCCATCCTGTTACAGGTGACACACCTACCCTGATGCCACACTGGCCCATCCTGTTACAGGCGAGACACACATACCCTGATGCCACACTGGCCCATCCTGTTACAGGCGAGACAGCGGGAGTCGTACACCACGTAGAGCACCTCGTTACTGAACAGCGCCCCGTTTGTTGTGAGTGAGATGAGGAACCCATGCAGCGCCCGGTCTGAAGGAGAAACACAACACTTGATGGGTGGAGATTCACCCCGAGGTCTGTGTGTTTGTTTGTCATTTAACGCTGCACTCAGCATTATTCAAGCTATATGACGACGGTCTGTAAATAATCGAGTCTGAACAAGACAATCCAGTGATTAATATCATGAGCATCGATCCACGCAATTGGGAACGATGTCATGCATCAACAAAGTCAGCGAGCAGGACCAACCGATCCCGTTAGTCGCCTCTTACGGCAAAGCAAAGTCGCCTTTCACGGCACGCATAGTCGCCTCACCCCAAGGACACGCGCACAGAGATATACGAACACATTGCGCTGTTTTCTCAACCATCTTTATGTTACATTGATACAAGCAACCAGGGCCCCGTTCCACTAAACAATCTTAGCGCTAAGATGATCGTAACTCCCATACTTTGACATAGGTTTACGACAATCATAGCGCTAAGATGATCGTAACTCCCTTACTTTGACATAGGTTTACGACAATCATAGCGCTAAGATGATCGTTACTCCCATACTTTGACATAGGTTTACGACAATCATAGCACTAAGATGATCGTAACTCCCATACTTTGACATAGGTTTACGACAATCATGGCACTAAGATGATCGTAACTCCCATACTTTGACATAGGTTTACGACAATCATAGCGCTAAGATCACTTTGTGGAACGTGCCCCAGAACGACGAACATATTGCAGTCATGCCATTCTTAAAGACACCATTGAACACATGTCTGACCACTTAGACATACGTCTTAGACATTAGTCTTTATCATGTAACATATTCATTTGTTGTTTAACGCCACACCCAACAATGTTCCAGCTTTATGACGGTGGTCTGTAAATAATACAGTGATACGGTTTTATAAACCAGTGATAGACCATTGGGATACGATGACATGCATCAACTGATCCCGCCAGTTGCATTTTACGACACGCTGAAGACAAATTGCAACCCGGATGTTCACGGGTTCACCATGCAACATCCGGGCATGTTAAGCTGCGTGACGTCACTGTCTACCTTCAGGTACTCTGGCATCAGGGAGGTGACAGCCGACTTCTCGGGAACTCTCGAAATCCGCGGGGACGATCGAGAAGTTGTTTCCGGGCGTCAGGTTGCCGTTATCTATCTGTAGAAACACAGGAAGGGTATATAAAGTTCCGGTGTATTAATGAAGGGAGATTGTGGTACGAATTACATGAACTAGAACAGTCAGACTGTCTCTGAAAAACCTCACGACAGTTCACAGTGTAGCATTCCGATTGATCTGTCAGCGGTATCGAGCCCAGTGTTCGACCATAGTGACAAAACCCTGATGAGGACCCAAGAATAACAGAAGGAAAAGTGGCTGTGCATATGAAAAACCTCGCCGAGCCACGACTGCATGCAAGTCATACGGAATTCATAAGCATCAACATTAACTTGTTCCACTGTTTGTTCGCTCAAACTGTGAGATTTCAGACAACATGCGGCCCACTTGACCATATCCGGTTACAGGTTTCCGTCCGATACCGAGGACCAATGAATGACATTGTTAGTGTTGTCCAATCGCAGCCTTCGGTTAATCTGCTGCCGCCTGTCTGTTCAGACGAGAAGACAGGAACCCAGTCAAAAATCAACACAGCTTCAGATTTGACCGATTCTTGATTCCGCCTGTGCCTTATCACTTCCGCTATAACTACGAGTAAAGACAGTATATTATATGGTAAACCCGTACTCACTCTAACATCCCGCACTCTACATGCGATGTTTGGAGTTTCATGGAAGTTGTCGACGATGAGGAAGGCGATGCGACAGGGACGTCTCCGAGAGTTGCACAGGCCGTTCCTGGGGAGAAACATATTGATCTGAGTATGTATGATGTGATAACAGCGTATGTCAGGACTCACCACATAGAGGCCGAAGGACAACATAGATACACGTCTACATACAGGCCGGAGGTACAGGCGTGGGGAATACACAATCATTGTTAACACTGACCTCAGCCACGGTGTCCACCTCAAACACTGACCTCATAATCCGGATGATCTGTGGCGGTCTCGCGACTTGGACGGAGCAGTCTGGCGCAGTGAAGCCCTCGTCACAGAGACACGTGCCGGCGCTGCACACGCCCCTCAAGCTGCACTGGTTGGGACAGATGTTCTTGGTAACTTCTGGTGGTGGGAGTCGTCTCCCTTGGCCGTCGGTGCCGAAGTTGCTGATGTTTCTCAATATGGCTTCCTGGCAGCCCGCCTCCAGGGCGGATACCGACGCCTGCAGGAAGACGGTCGTCTGTGCTGCCTGGGAGAATACACGTACTTGCAGGTGAATAATTCCTTAGGGTCAGCTTTTTTGATAAAATGTACCCCACCCATATGTATATACAGTATACTGTTCCCATAGGGTCTTAAGGGTGACTTGTTATGTTTTCACCATAGTATTGACATAATACTGACATAGTATTGACTCAGGTGAGCTACAACATTGAAAGCTAAGATATACATGTTATGGATATGGTTACAAATATGCACAGATTTCACTCATCGATTTTGGGAGGATTTTTTGCAATCAATCAATCAATCAATCAATCAATCAAAATGAAATACAACATGAGATAAACACATGGAGCAAAGAAACGGTAAACTTACAACCATGTCTTCAACACAGGAAGACACAAAACCGGAGGTGTCGAAGCCGACGATGGTGGCGCACCTGACGCCGAGGGTGAAGTTTGCGATGGCGGTGAGGCACAGCTGGTTGGCGCGGGCCTGGGTGATCTGAGGCTGCACGGGGAGGTTGGGGTTGAAGCGGGGAAAGGGGTTAACCTCAGCCCCTGGAGTGAGGATTGTGACGTTGATACCCACGCTCGCCGTGAAGTTAACTGAAGGGGAAATGTGTTTGTGTTTCTTTAGCGCCGCATTCAGACAAGTTCTATGTGACGGCGATCTGTAAACACACGAGTCTGGACCAGGCAAGCCAGTGATTGACATCATGGTCATCGCTCTACGCAACTGGGATACGATGAAATGCAAATCAGCCAAGTCAGCGAGCCTGGCCACTTGATCCCGTTTGTCGTCTCTTACGACAAACATGAGTTGGCGGAGACCAATTCTTAGACGCGCTAGTATGTAATTTTGTCTTAATGGTTTTCCAGCAGAGGCTGAATCCCCATTTATAAGCGTTATGAGAAAATTTACACATTCGTTGATCCGTTTATCGAACAATGCTTATTGTCTGTTACACAATGTGGGCCGATGTGCGACCGGCAGGTGACACTAGGGGGTAAACCTAACCGGTCGTGACTTTAACCTGTGTGCCACCCTACGTCACTACTCCCGTGTTGAGTGCTGGGACAGTTGCTGACTGTGGGGTCATAACAAGATAGTACATTGACTTGTACAGTGACTTGTACATTGACTTGAACATTGACTTGCCTGGTAAAGGCATTGACACCGACACGTTACATATGAATAATATGGACATTATACAGTACACTCTGTCTTCATTGATGCCATAACTTATCCAATGTTACTTACTGATAGTGGGTATAAATAGCAGCAAGAACTGTAAACAGCGATGCGAGTCAATGTCGGGTGTGCGACAACTTCACTTGTGTCTTAATAAAAACACACCCCACAGCTACTCGACCGACGTGTAACTTTTGACGACAGGTCTCCCCGAGAACAGAAAGCGGCATCTGATGGGACAACTGAATGGTGTGTTGTCCTATGTGTAGGCGTCAGCCTGACATGATCGTACAGTAGTTCTAGAAGCTACTCACAGTTAATCATCGTCCTGAAGTTGGGCCTGTCGGGGACGGCAGTGGGGCCGGTGACGCGGACTGCAGGCTCGTCGTTGTCGTCGTCTATCACCGATGCATTTTGAGTCCGCGTTACAACTCTATCCGTGACATCGTGACACGACCGGCAGAGCTGAAACCAGTGGGCGTTATTTAGATGCTGGCGAGGATGAAAGTGTGGCTTGTTCTCAGTCTCCAATATACCAATATGTGTCAGGGGAGAATAACATCAAGTCTGAATCAGACAACCAGTGATTGATAGTATGAGCACCGTCCCCGCGCCGTCGTAAAGGACAGGAACACAAATTCTCCAACCCGATCTATTTAGTCTTCTCTTACAATTGAGCCAGTCTGACTCGGAACTGGACGCAGCAAAGATCATATTTGAGGATGACCTGTTTGAGGATGACGACTGTGTGGATGACGTGTATGAGGATGACGTATGTGACGTGTGTGACGGTGAGGTGTATGAGGGTGACGTGTGTGTTGTGTGAGAATGACGACTGTGGGGATGACGTGTGTGAGGCTGAAGTGTGTGAGGATGACGTATGTGACGTGTGTGACGGTGAGGTGTATGAGGGTGACGTGTGTGTTGTGTGAGAATGACGACTGTGGGGATGACGTGTGTGAGGCTGAAGTTTGTGAGGATAAGGTGTGTGACGTGCGTGAGGATGACGTGTGTGAGGTCATATGAGAAGAATGGGCATGGTGTTGGAATAAACAAACGTACATGAGATTGCATGATGGAAGCCTGTGTGACGATCAGCCGTGATCAGAGTATGGTGGTCGTATGACACAAGGATGACAAGGACGTATGACTCACATTTCTGACCGGGTCTTGTATCACTCTGTTGTTTCCACAGTCAGCCGTCCTAGTGATGTTGTTGCACAGACACTGGGTGACGATGTTGACGTTGTCGTATCTGATGACGCGTCTGGTGGGTTGGGAGCGAGTAGCACCGTTCAGCAAACTCTGGTCTACTCGGAGTCTGCGCGGAACAGAAGATAGCTCTATGTATCAGGTGCCGGAAGGACCTATATGGTAGATGCTGTCACATACTGCACCCGGGACAAGATTTAGACTGGCTGAGTTTAGTGCAAATAGTTGAACAACAAATTATCCAAAGGAATTTGATGAATTTATAAATCAGTGAATCAATACTATAAAACTGTCTCAAATATTTTTAAGAAATAGGTACATGTCACACAGTCTCAATCGAGAATGAAATCTTCTGAATTGGAGGGTTGCCTGTTTCGCCACTTACGGCAGGGGACACCAGAAATGGAAATGGAAATGGAACCCGGGCTTCGGCGTGACGAGTGAACGCTGTACCCACGAGACTACACACACAGAATGCTACACCTATGTTCACATGGGCAACACTAGCGACTGGCGCCTCCTTACCTCCAGGATCGGAAGAACAGAGTGGGGACGTTATTGTTGAGCTCGAACGTTTGTCCATCCGGGCCTCTCAGCTCGTTGTCAGGGTTACCGTCGAACGTGCCACATATGCCCTGCACGTGTCCGAAGTCCTCCGCCGGCACCTGCACCTCCACGTTGATATACGTGGCGAAGTCCTGCACGCGTAGCCATGACCCTGACGCGAAGGATATCTGGAACACGTGCATCAGATGACGTCATTAAAACTGACTCAGGCATGTGTGTACTATACTCACCGCCAAACGAAACGCGACTACCATGCTTGTTGGTTAATAAATGAAGACTTACTCATATTCAAGAGATATTAGAATAGCTCGATGCACATACGAACATACTGGTATGTTATGTGAACCGATGCTCATAAACGCATCACATGTGACGTCATAGATCCATGACTCGAGATGCACCATTTGTCTCGTGCAGGATTAGCGTGTACAGTTTGGAAATCATGTGCAGCATATCATGACAAGATTAAAGACACTTTGTGGTAACACTTGACTGATTGTTAGTTCTGGCATTAAGTGCTACACATTGGAAACATCTCTTCTTAATGTACATACGTATCCATATGTTTCTATGGTTCGCGTTTCTTTTGATGGTGAGTATATATTGTGTGTCATGTCAGCACGTCTATCATCTTAATGTCGGTCAGTCCAGTTCCGTGTTGACCAGAAATCCGTTGGACGTTAAGCAGATAAGATGGAGGCTTATGCTGATTAATATGTATAATAGTTGCTCGGGAACAGTACGTCACGTACTACAGATTAGAGATGCCCAGCCACAACAAGCCAGTGTCGGTCTACACAGAGTCAGACATGATTATATAGACAGACATGTGTCTTTCAGTAACAGTCCACCGGCCCATAATTCATTAACTTGGCATGGTAAATTACGCATGCTGGAGTAAAGACCATGCACATAGAAATTTCATTCATGAATAAAAGGTATTAAGAATTTCTTAATTTGAACGTTTTTGCTAAGAATACATCGATATTATGAAGGACAATATTATTTGCATCAGCTGTGGGAATGTCACAAGAGATGAATATTCAGTGTAATATGGCGAGGAGTTCCATCTTCTTATATCGTTCTCATATAAACATCACGTGGTATTCATCCTCGACGTATTCACGGTTTCTGGACAGAACAAACATCGGAGAATCGCTCATTATGGGGAACATGACTGTTTCTTCCAAGTTCAACATTTAAACGGTAAAAATTACAACTTCACTTTCAAATATACATCTTTATGTAATGTGGAATGTAACTTGTTGAATAACGTTCTACGTTCAACACAGGTTTCAACACTGAACATTGTAATTACATTTCGAGGATAATTCTATAGACAAAGTCCAGTTACAGTAGAGATTATCAGATAGTCTTTTCTGAATTCATAAAGAAATAATGTTATATCTCTGTTTTTCTTGTACCCAGACCAGTCCGAAACCTGAACTAAGCAAAGGGCTTTTTTATTGATGTCAGTCTGCCCACCTCATCCAGTGATGTTAACACGAAGGCTTGGCGAGGTAATCTGTGAGAGTCACGATGAAGATGAAGATGTCTGCACAAATACTTCACTGTTCTTGTCATATACAGACTACAAAGGGAGTATATGTTCACCCACAGGAAGTGTGTGTCTGTATGCTTACTCAGTCCAGAGCGTGGATATATCCAGGAATAATTTAATTTTAATGTGAAGTTTACACGAAATGCGGCTTTTCAATTGGACGAGAGGTCGGTCACATGACCGCGTTACTTTCGTTCATCAGTGAATGAACGACGCATTTTGACGTTCAGCGTTTTTCACGAGACTGTATTCTTGAAAGGACGTAAACACTGACAGACTACTTTTGGAATTCTCTAGCACGAATAAATACAGAAGCGTTGTTGCATTTCGAACCGTTAATCTTGAACTAAGCGCTTGGCCCTCACTCTATGAAGGTACACACTCCACTGAACTCACACAAAGCGAAAGTCAATTCTTAAATGACCTACCATAAAGTTCCTGCCGTCGTTCGTCCGCTTGATCTGTGTCCCCGCAGCCAGGCTCCCCCCTGACACAATCCGCACCCGGGCGGGCGGGGCACCCCACCGCTGGCGGCACACGTCGATGGCGATGGTGTCAGGGCCGTCCATGATGGCGACGGCACACACGCAGGCGCGACCCACGCACTCGTTGGTTCTGATGTTCACCTGGTGGGAGAGACTTCTGTTTAATAAATTCTCTAGGCTCTGGAGACCACAGCTGTACACACAGCCCGACGGTACTGATGTACAGAGAGACACAGGTGCACTCAAGGCGGTCTTACCTCAAACTGGCGCTGCGTGCTCCTCAGCAGTACGAAGTCCCCGACCTCGTAGAGATGCAAGGTGCTGAGGAGAGAACCCAGAAGATGAAGAAGATGATGTATCAAGAGACCACATCAGTAATACATAATCGTGACAGTCTCGCGGATAAGCGTGAGAGCGTTCACACGGTGTTGGGTACATATCAGGTCCCTGCCTCAAAACAATCTTAGTTCTATGACAATCTATCAACCATACTTTAACATAGACTTACGATGGTTGTACCGCTATGGCAATCTATCGCGCATGCATTAACATAGACTTACGGCTGAGGCAATCATATCGCCCTTACTTTAGCATAGACGTATGACTTTCGTTGCGTTATTACACGTTATCGCCCATACTTTAACAGACTTATGGCTATCCTAACGCTGAGGCAATCGCCCATGCTTTAACATAGACTGTCTCAGTACTTAAATTGTATTGAGAAAACGATGATGGCCTCTTTTTAAGCATTATCGTCAACTCTTTTCTGAGACAAAATAGTTCACTACAACATTCCGACCCACGTGATCGGACCCTCACGTGTTGACGACACAGAAATCGCGCCTCGTCCCCGTGATGTGACCAGTGAGTGACACTTACTCTCGACCCTCGAATGTTCTGATGTGTGGATCTGCAAATGCCGAGCAGCGTCGCGTCTCCCCATCCACTGTGAATACCTGCAGCAGGATGTGTTCGATGTTGTGAACATGTACAGTTTATAGGACTAAATACAGTGAACACTTAACTGTAGTTTATTGGGATTAATTTTGCGAACACCTACAGTATATCAGAAGGATAGCATCTATCAGCTGGTCATAAAACACATGAGTGAATGAGGTTTGGTGTTAACGTCGCTTTGAACAGTATTCCCCTTTTATCACGGCGTGTCAGCTTAATGTGGGAGGAAAGCCCGTGTGATGCAGGTCTTAGACGTTTACCACCGCACACCATCTTCTAACTTACTTCCAGTGGCGTAGCTACAAAAAGCAAGTGCTTACACTTTGAAATCGTTACACAAATAAAATGAAATAATTTACTAAATTACTATAGTGCGTTCTTATTTCTGTCGTTTGTCATAGTTACATGATCGTGACATTGTGTTAATGTACAGGTTGACCCGCCTACCAGTGTCAACATTGTGGTTGGTGAGATGGTTCAGCATGTCGCGGATTTCGCCGAACCACCAACCTTCCGCTCTCAGGGCAGACACTCTATCCACTACACCACGGAGGCGGTCCTAACGTAAGGGAGTATCGCAACGTTCACAGTGAGACACGGGACAGCATGACCCGGCCGTGTTCACGATACACCCTGTTGTATAACTGTTACCACACGCCATGCTCGAGTAACCGTGACACCTGCACGTGACAGTCATGTCACCCATACGATAAGTCACGCACACTTCTCACTTTGAACATCACCGCAGATTTGTCACGGACAGTCAGGCCACCTGGCGGGCGCACCTACCCTGAGTCGAGGCAGTCTGTAGCCCCGCCAGATGTCCGGGGCGTTGATGTAGTTGGCGATGAAGGTGACATGGAGTTCCTGGTTGCCGTCCCTAACGAAGTCCCTGGTGGCTTGGACGGTGGTGGAGATGGTGGCGGTGCGGGTGTTGAGGTCCCAGTGGTCACGTGTCAGCAAGAGGAGGCACTGATTGGCTGTCGCGATGTCCTCTGGTGACAGTAACAAAAAGTTGTATACTACCAAAACATGACATGACTGATTAACTGTAGGAATATGAAAGAAACTGGTGGTCATTAACTTGTCTTGTGTTCATACATCCTCATACACGGAGGTAGGCGAAACCAGAAGTCAGGTGGAAATATTTCCCAAGTGTAGTTCATGCTGTATCCATGACGACTATGAACTCAAGAGATAACTGCTGCTACTGCCTGCGACATCGTCACGTTGACGGTGTTATGGCCTGGTGAATATATACAGCGTTCGGTCGTCACGACAAGAACCCGGGTTCGAATCCCAAAGTTGGTACAATGAGTGAAGCCCATTTCTGGTGTCCCCTACCGTAATATTGCTGGAATATTGCGGTGTAAAAACATACTTATTCACACTGTCGAATAAATCCCTGGTTTTCTGAGGGGTACTCACCTTTCGTGTGTATGAAATTGTGAATACAGGGTATATGAGGACATTAAACTATTACAAAATTGAGTGAGTGAATGAGTTGTATTAACTCCGCTTTTGTCACGTGAACAGGCATGATGCTGATACACCTTGCGACATAATCGGGGCGAAGCGGGATTCGAATCTACAACCATAGGTCCTGATGGACGTAACTCAGACGCCTCAGACGACGGGTCCACTCGTTCCCCGACACACACCCCACACAGCCCTCCGCCAAATACTATATGACTATGTGCAAATAGCATATTGAAATAACGAGTCAGCAATGATTAAGAAAGGCCTAAAAAAGGTGTGAAAATAGAAACGTAGAATATGAACAACGGTTCACGTGTTCAGCTGAGTTTTTTTCAATACACGATGTACGATGCAAATTGTACAATACACGATGGTCGCCCCGGGGATTCAGGGTTAGAATAGGTCCCTAGCATCTTATGTTTGTCGGTCATCAAATGGATCTGGTTGTCGAACGTGGTGACTTGGTTTATTTGCGTGCCGCGGTACCCCGACAAACACAGTACAACAATACACTATGATTGTACAACACGCTGTACACTGCCAAAGTCACGCGACAAATGTTTTTTCTTTGTTCATGCGAAAAAATAAAGATAAAATTCCTTACGAGAAAACAACCAAAGCATTTAGAGTTAGTGTGAAACGGTTGTATTTATTTTCCAACGGAACTAACGATAGTTGGCCAACAATGTCAGATAATCCTATCAGAATATCCAATAATGGCCTCACCCCAACTTCCGCCTGTGACGTCAATGTCAAGGTGAATGTTACAACGTTGCTGTGCGCCTGTGCACAAAACCGGAAGCGTTGACGTCACGTTGATCTGCTGGGGTCCCCCTGCCTCTCGTACAGTCACGACCGGCGGCGCGACCTGGGAAGAGAGTCACGTACGTTCAATAGTCACACCGAGACGACACACTGACACAGATAGGAAACTTGCAGCCTTGACACATGCTAATAGCGGCTTAGTGTCCAGCAGGTGCGTGTTGACAGGATTAGGAGTGTCGCTCAGTTTGTAACATCATACATTCAATGAGAGCGCGAGTAACAAAACACCTCGCAATGGAACTAGCATTAATTAGGAAAACAACATATTTGACGCTGCATGTTATGTTTCAGAAATAGACTTGCTTCAGGATCTCTTATGGATTACGGCATATGTCACAGCAGCAGGAAGTATGTGATAGGCAGATTAAAACGTAAAGTCGTTGACGTTATTGTACATTAAAAAAAACCCACACATCTCAAGGTCGCAAGCATTTAGTGGGAAATAGTGAGTGAGTGAGTATGGTTTTACGCCGATTTAAGCAATATTCAAGCAATATCACGGCGCGGACACCAGAAATGGGCTTCACACATTGTACCCATGTCGGGAATCGAAACCAGGTCTTCGGCATGACGAGCGAACGCTTTCACCACTAGGCTACCCGACCACCCCTGGTGGGAAATAACTATTTAACTTCCTTACAAAATGTGTGGCCTAGATTTCACAAATAGCTCCAGGTGTCGGCCGGAAAAACATCATGGTTACCGCCAGAACACAAGGCACCATGTGACCAGCGTGTGCTCAGTGTGTGGGATGGGTGTGGTCGAAGTGTGGTCAGTGTGGTGTGTGTGTGTGGGGAGGGGGGGGGGGGGGGGGGGGGGGGGGAGGGGGCATGTAAGTTGTGTGTGGTGGAGGATAATGGCGTGGTGTGGCATGTTAGTGGTGTGAAGTGGGGGATAATGGCGTGGTGTGGCATGTAGGTGGTGTGAAGTGGGGGATAATGGCGTGGTGGGCGTGGTATGGCATGTAGGTGGTGTTAAGTGGGGGATAATGGCGTGGTGTGGCATGTAGGTGGTGTGAAGTGGGGGATAATAGCGTGGTGTGTGGCATGTTAGTGGTGTGAAGTGGGGGATAATGGCGTGGTGTGGCATGTAGGTGGTGTGAAGTGGGGGATAATGGCGTGTTGGGCGTGGTGTGGCATGTAAGTGGTGTGAAGTGGGGGATAATGGCGTGGTGTGGCATGTAGGTGGTGTGAAGTGGGGGATAATGGCGTGGTGTGGCATGTAGGTGGTGTGAAATGGAGGATAAGGGCGTGGTGGGCGTGGTGTGGCATGTAAGTGGTGTTTAGTGGGGGATAATGTCGTGGCGTGGCATGTAAGTGGTGTGTGGTGGAGGATAAGGGCGTGGTGGGCTAGGTGTGGCATGTAAGTGGTGTGTAGTGGAGGATATTGACGTGGGGTATGTTTGGGGCATGTGAGTCATCCTTAAACGAACTATGTCAACTTATAAACGTTACGTATACAAATGCTTCTGGGCAATACATAGTATTGTGTAGTGAATACACACTTTCGCACAATCTATGCAGAAGTATGCAGACATAACCTACCCTCACTCCCCCGAAGTAGCCGTTGCTGGTGAGGATGGCGCTCCTGACGTTGGGTGTAGTCACGTAGTAAGCATCGGCCCTGCAGCGGAGCTGTAAGACACAAGGCAGCCATGACAAACTCGGAGGCGACCTGGTCTCCTCACAGCGACACTCTCGCCAATGCAGTCGTCTACTTGTATAACGGTTTGGGTTTGGGGTTTGAAAATAACAACTTGCATAAAGTTTGAGAATGATTAATTTTTATAAATTTTGAGAACGTATAATGTTTAAGAATGACTGCTTTAATACTGTTTGAGAATAACTTTTCCTATGCAGAAAACACATACGTACGAGAGTTGTTGATTTTACAGCACTTCCACGCTGGCGAGGTGAGTGAAGTGGCATACTTTATTCACCATATTGTTGGTCCTTACTTTTATCAAGAAATCAGATACTAACAACATATTGACACTCACCTAAAGGTCAACAGTAAAATGAAACACAAATCCTAAACATTTCAGGAAAATGATTATAGCTGACTTATATACCATCTTAGTCTTGTATGTCTCAACACGGGTCTTATAGCTGACCTATATACCATCTTAGTCTTGTGTGTCACAACACGGGTCTTATAGCTGACCTATATACCATCTTAGTCTTGTATGTCTCCACACGGGTCTTATAGCTGACTTATATACCATCTTAGTCTTGTATGTCTCCACACGGGTCTTACAGCTGACTCATATACCATCTTAGTCTTGTACCTCTCCACACGGGTCTTACAGCTGACTCATATACCATCTTAGTCTTGTACCTCTCCACACGGGTCTTACAGCTGACTTATATACCATCTTAGTCTTGTACCTCTCCACACGGGTCTTACAGCTGACTCATATACCATCTTAGTCTTGTACCTCTCCACACGGGTCTTACAGCTGACTCATATACCATCTTAGTCTTGTACCTCTCCACATGGGTCTTACAGCTGACTCATATACCATCTTAGTCTTGTACCTCTCCACACGGGTCTTACAGCTGACTCATATACCATCTTAGTCTTGTACCTCTCCACACGGGTCTTACAGCTGACTCATATACCATCTTAGTCTTGTACCTCTCCACACGGGTCTTACAGCTGACTCATATACCATCTTAGTCTTGTACCTCTCCACACGGGTCTTACAGCTGACTCATATACCATCTTAGTCTTGTACCTCTCCACACGGGTCTTACAGCTGACTCATATACCATCTTAGTCGTGTACCTCTCCACACGGGTCTTACAGCTGACTTATATACCATCTTAGTCTTGTACCTCTCCACACGGGTCTTACAGCTGACTCATATACCATCTTAGTCTTGTACCTCTCCACACGGGTCTTACAGCTGACCTATATACCATCTTAGTCTTGTACCTCTCCACACGGGTCTTACAGCTGAATCATATACCATCTTAGTATTGTACCTCTCCACACGGGTCTTACAGCTGACTCATAAACCATCTTAGTCTTGTACCTCTCCACACGGGTCTTACAGCTGACTTATATAACGTCTTAGCCTTGTATGTCTCCACACGGTCCTTACAGCTGACTCATATACCATCTTAGTCTTGTACCTCTCCACACGGGTCTTACAGCTGACTTATATACCATCTTAGTCTTGTACCTCTCCACACGGGTCTTACAGCTGACTCATATACCATCTTAGTCTTGTATGTCTCCACACGGGTCTTACAGCTGACTCATATATCATCTTAGTCTTGTACCTCTCCACACGGGTCTTACAGCTGACTCATATACCATCTTAGTCTTGTACCTCTCCACACGGGTCTTACAGCTGACTCATATACCATCTTAGTCTTGTACCTCTCCACACGGGTCTTACAGCTGACTTATATACCATCTTAGTCTTGTACCTCTCCACACGGGTCTTACAGCTGACTCATATACCATCTTAGTCTTGTACCTCTCCACACGGGTCTTACAGCTGACTCATATACCATCTTAGTCTTGTACCTCTCCACATGGGTCTTACAGCTGACTCATATACCATCTTAGTCTTGTACCTCTCCACACGGGTCTTACAGCTGACTCATATACCATCTTAGTCTTGTACCTCTCCACACGGGTCTTACAGCTGACTCATATACCATCTTAGTCTTGTACCTCTCCACACGGGTCTTACAGCTGACTCATATACCATCTTAGTCTTGTACCTCTCCACACGGGTCTTACAGCTGACTCATATACCATCTTAGTCTTGTACCTCTCCACACGGGTCTTACAGCTGACTCATATACCATCTTAGTCGTGTACCTCTCCACACGGGTCTTACAGCTGACTTATATACCATCTTAGTCTTGTACCTCTCCACACGGGTCTTACAGCTGACTCATATACCATCTTAGTCTTGTACCTCTCCACACGGGTCTTACAGCTGACCTATATACCATCTTAGTCTTGTACCTCTCCACACGGGTCTTACAGCTGAATCATATACCATCTTAGTATTGTACCTCTCCACACGGGTCTTACAGCTGACTCATAAACCATCTTAGTCTTGTACCTCTCCACACGGGTCTTACAGCTGACTTATATAACGTCTTAGCCTTGTATGTCTCCACACGGTCCTTACAGCTGACTCATATACCATCTTAGTCTTGTACCTCTCCACACGGGTCTTACAGCTGACTTATATACCATCTTAGTCTTGTACCTCTCCACACGGGTCTTACAGCTGACTCATATACCATCTTAGTCTTGTATGTCTCCACACGGGTCTTACAGCTGACTCATATATCATCTTAGTCTTGTACCTCTCCACACGGGTCTTACAGCTGACTCATATACCATCTTAGTCTTGTACCTCTCCACACGGGTCTTACAGCTGACTCATATACCATCTTAGTCTTGTACCTCTCCACACGGGTCTTACAGCTGACTTATATACCATCTTAGTCTTGTACCTCTCCACACGGGTCTTACAGCTGACTCATATACCATCTTAGTCTTGTACCTCTCCACACGGGTCTTACAGCTGACTTATATACCATCTTAGTCTTGTACCTCTCCACACGGGTCTTACAGCTGACTTATATACCATCTTAGTCTTGTACCTCTCCACACGGGTCTTACAGCTGACTTATATACCATCTTAGTCTTGTACCTCTCCACACGGGTCTTACAGCTGACTCATATACCATCTTAGTCTTGTATGTCTCCACACGGGTCTTACAGCTGACTCATATATCATCTTAGTCTTGTACCTCTCCAGACGGGTCTTACAGCTGACTCATATACCATCTTAGTCTTGTACCTCTCCACACGGGTCTTACAGCTGACTCATATACCATCTTAGTCTTGTACCTCTCCACACGGGTCTTACAGCTGACTCATATACCATCTTAGTCTTGTACCTCTCCACACGGGTCTTACAGCTGACTTATATACCATCTTAGTCTTGCACCTCTCCACACGGGTCTTACAGCTGACTTATATACCATCTTAGTCTTGTACCTCTCCACACGGGTCTTACAGCTGACTTATATACCATCTTAGTCTTGTACCTCTCCACACGGGTCTTACAGCTGACTCATATACCATCTTAGTCTTGTATCTCTCCACACGGGTCTTACAGCTGACTCATATACCATCTTAGTCTTGTACCTCTCCACACGGGTCTTACAGCTGACTCATATACCATCTTAGTCTTGTACCTCTCCACACGGGTCTTACAGCTGACTCATATACCATCTTAGTCTTGTACCTCTCCACACGGGTCTTACAGCTGACTTATATAACATCTCAGTCTTTCTATGTCTCCACACGGGTCTTACAGCTGACTTATATAACATCTTAGTCTTGTACCTCTCCACAACTCACCGTCTTGCCGACGTTGCCTCTCCAGGCCTCCTGGTAAAGGAAAGCGATTCTCTGGTCCCCAGTGAGGATGTCTGCGGGGCGAGTTGGGATGTCCACTCCGTCAAAGGACCACGTGACATTGAAGGCGATGTTCTGAATGCCCCGCTGGAAGGATATGCCACAAGCAAACCGGAAGCGGTCTCCGATGATTTCCGGTCCGGTGAGGACTGGCGGAGAAGCCATCCTCGGAGCCGATTCTGAATTCCGAAACAGATGGTCACGTGGACTCATTAGCCACCGACATGGGTTTATGTACTAAACATTGGGAGGATGGATAATCTGGGACAAGGCAAACTGTACATTTATACTGCATAACAAGGTGTACATGGTCAACGAGTAAATCTTGATCTGATGTGAGCCGACACGTTTGATAAAACCCACAACTGTACTCACAGTAATACCTCCCACCAACAGAACTCAATCTATCTTCAAGCATTACTCATGTCCATAACGATATTGTCAAAGCTAGTGAATTTCCGTCTTGACGTAATTAGATCAGACGTAAAAGAAAGTCATCGACCGCTACACATAGGCTTGAAGACCTGAAATAACTCGTGATTAAAAATGCGTCACAATGAAATATGCACAACAAAGGATAGAAGTGTTGGGACTTATGTGTAGAAAACCTCAGTGACGCTAAAAATAGCACGATATAATAAGCAGTGCTTGGGACGGACGTAAAACAACATGCATCATATTAAGTGCTTCATCATACAACACATATATACACACATAAACAAAGTGCAACATAAGTAACATGTCCATAGCCTAGAAGACGAACAGAACAAAAAACAGTGTCAGTCTAGAAAGAAAAACGAGGAAGGCAGACTGCTTTTTGGTTCTGGTTTCCGAATCTGCTTGTTTCCAGATGACATGCGTGACAGGACACGTGACCCTCCGTGTATACGTGTGTGGTAATAATTAAACATATCTCGCGATTTTAAGCAAAACGAGAAGCAAAAGACGTGCGGTGATTGTACCTATGCAATACGCCATGGGGCAGGCGGGGGGACGCCGGAGGCAGTACACGACAAACTGCCCGCAGTTCCGCACATCAATCGGGATCTTAGTACCGCAGCAAGCGCCTGTGCTGCCATTGGTCGGAATAGTATTCGCGCACGCCGTCATGCGCACGGTGCCTTGCGCTTGTAAAGGTACGCTTCCGTTCAGCCATATTGGCGCCTGGGTGCCGCAGCTGAATGGCTGAAGGCAGTGTGTCGGCATCAGGCCATCCACCAGTCGGTACCACCCGGGCTGAAGGTCGAGGTCGCAGATGAGTCTGTCGCCTTGCCGCGGCGTGTTATATACATCCCTCGTAATGTCGGTCATGTTGGTGTACGCTATGCAGGGGTCGAGGTCTTGGCAGGCTGAAAAATAGAAGTATATCAATGGAATGAGTGAGTGTGGGTATGGTATTACAGAGATATCACTGCGGGGGACACCAGAAATGGGCTTCACACATTGCCCCATGTCGCGAATCGAACCAGGATCTTCGGCGTGACGAGGGAACGCTTTAACCACTAGACTACCCGATCTCCCCGTATATCAATGGAGCAGAATATATTGTCCACATTCAATACACAGTCCGCTCACCTTGCGCAGGTTCGCGGTATAAGACAGTATCACATGTATATACGACTCAGGTTTGACAGAGGTGTAGATTTCATTCCAGGTGGGGACTGAGAGATGCCAATACGATTCGTCTGACTTCGATTCATGCGTAAACTCCACATTGTCAAACAGTGTTCTCCTACAGTGTTCTAAATATTCTTGTTGATCCACGCCATTGTATCTCATGTGCTGGATCGATGCTCATGATATCAATCACTGGATTGTCTGGTCCAGGAGCATGAATATTGCTGAGTGCGAAAAACAAACGTAACATTCTATTTCATAATCTCCATGTTACTAGAGGAGTATACAGGTATAACGTTAACATACTGCCGAATGGGCAAGTATTAAATATATTTATTATAGTAGCCAGTTGGTCACATATAATATATGATAAGTTTTCGCACCATCACGAAGGGTATTTGTGGTGTTGTTAATGCATCCCGCGTTACGTTTACATCACGCGCCCGAGCATCGGGGGCGCATATATCCATCTATAACCCTCCTTCAATGAATTTATTATACTGACATGTTTCGATCCGCCATTATATAAAATTAAAACAAATTGACAGAAAACAACTGTTGAGGTTGACTTGTGCAGTGTCACGTGACTTTCATTGACTCGTGCGAAAACGCGCAGTTTTTTGCTCCGTATCGGAGTGCAACAGAGTTATTTTCCACTGAGAGTTCCACCTGTAGCCTGATGTGGGACATCAGTGATTCATTTCCCCTCATATGTCTAACCCAGGCGGGATACGATCACATGAAGCAATCAAATCTCAACATTCTGACATGGAGGTCAGCTAAGGGGTAGTGTTTGTGCCTGGGTTTGTCATCTGTGTTATTCCCTGCCAATCAACTTTCATCTGTATTGATTTCATCAGTTATTATGCAGTGCAACCTAAAGCGATGATATTCGTTGTTTAGGGATACGTCTCTGTGTCGTATCAGGGTCCCCTGATTCCCAGATTCACCGCCTGTATGCTCCTTCATCTGCGCGTGCTCGTGGGTGTCGCCACATTGGTGAAGTCCCCGACATGCCAACACGACGTGAATTACACAGGTAGTTAACCAACGCACTTATATTTTGGAGGAACATATCTATATAGATTATAAACCGAGTGTGTTTCATAAATAGCATACGTTATCAACTGCATTGTGCTATGCTAGCCATTGTCGAGCATAATACATATTTTAACTTAACATGATATTTACGATACCCTCTTCATCATATTATGTCATTCGATATCTAACCGATGTTTAAGACGTATGTTTACTTAAAGATGTAACCGGGGGCACGGGTGGCCAGATAGCAAATGGGACTTCTCCCAGGAAGCGCTGCCAAGTCAAACCCACACAGAACTTTTCGGAGAATGTGAAGACTCCCCAACACTGCAGCCTTCTGCATTACCCAGATTGTCAGAAGGGCTGTATTCCTGTCCTGGTAGCAAACCCAATGTCAGTAAACAGATTGGGAGGTAACAGACCTAAGGCACCGAGAACAATGGGGAGTCGGACAACTTGGTACTTGGGATGCAAGTGTGACTTTTCGAAAGCGAAACATATTTGCCATGTTTTTCCTGTATCTTGTCAATTACATTCGTGTCAAAAGGTACAGGAAATTCAATCATATAAATGATTTCATCGGATTTATCAGAAAGGACAAGATCAGGTTTGTTGGCCTGGATGCGTCTGATGCTATACACGGGCCAATTAAAAAAAACTTTGTATATATCATTTTCCACGAAGCCCTCTACATAGTCTGGGTCGCACCATGGATGGACCTCTGTGTCAAACCACAAGCATGGCGAAGACGGTAATAAAATGATCGAGCCAATCCATCATGTCGCTTAAGATACTGTGTGTGTGCTAAAGCTTGGCATCCACTGACTATGATCTTGGACAGTCTCATTAAACTCATTACATAATCTACATTATATATTTACATTTTGATGTTAAATCGCACATTGACGGTTTCGAATGGGAAGTGACTGGTCCTGAGCAGCAAACAGAAAGCCTTCTGTTTCATTTTTCAGGCCAGCCGACCTCATCCAAGCGAAGGACTCGTCAGGGTTGCTGAACTGCTCAACACACTGCACATAAACTCGATGCAGTGGTCGTTCAGATAGCCTCTCCTTGACAAAAATGAGTATGGGCCGATTTGATATGGCACTTCGCTTGGTTGACATTGATTTCTGTACCGTCCAGCAGTACAAAACCATCAACAAAATATGACATTGTGATTGTCCCAAACCCTTGGCTCGTTTAAGAAAGCTGTGGAATGCCTTGTTTTCATCATGAGTCTTGACATGCTTCACAAGAGGATAATCACACAAATAAAAGTGTACATAATGATTGGTAAATATAAGCGATTGAGGGAAGAGCGAGGGTGGTGGGGTCTATTGTCTGCCATGATTCGTCGTGTGAGGGTGTAAATACGTGGCCCGGCTTGAAGTAACATGGCAGCCGGAATGGCGGGCAATACAAGGGCATCCATACGCAAGTTAGTCAACAGTATGCCAACCAGGAGTCGTGCATGTCCCGCCAATCACAGTGGACACACCAGATAAAGATCTGCATGTTCGAATTAATTTTACAGACATTTATCGTCATCACACTGTCACTATCATTTCAGACCCGGGTTAGAATCGCTCTTCAGAAACCCATGCTTTATGTAAAAGGCGATTATTTACAGACAACCGTCATGTAGCTGGTATATTGCTGAGTGCGGCAATAAAAAAACCATTTCACCAGTTTTTGTCGGTAGTAAATTAAGAATTAAACAGTTGTCTGATAATTGAACATACAATAAATTAAAATTGGAGAAGTGAATAATGCAAAAATACCGTTGACGTAAAAGAATATACAATCTCAGACCGAGATATAAACAGATATGCTCGACTTACCGACATGGTGGGCCAGAAGGAGGAGATATAGACAGATATACTGGACTTACCGACATGGTGGGCCAGAAGGAGGAGATATAAACAGATATACCCGACTTACCGACATGGTGGGCCAGAAGGAGGAGATATAAATATATGTACTCGACTTACCAGCATGGTGGGCCAGAAGGAGGAGATATAAATATATGTACTCGACTTACCAGCATGGTGGGCCAGAAGGAGGAGATATAGACAGATATACTCGACTTACCAACATGGTGGGCCAGAAGGAGGAGATATAAACAGATATGCTCGACTTACCGACTTGGTGGGCCAGAAGGAGGAGATATAAATATATGTACTCGACTTACCGACATGGTGGGCCAGAAGGAGGAGACAGAGCCTGAGTAACATCCCGGCAAGTCATTCACAGAGTGTATGGTGAAGCAGCCTCGCAATCCGCTATATATACCAGCGCGAGGCCTCCAGGAAGCCAGGACCGTGGCCGCCGAAGGAAGTGTCCCCAAACATCGTCCCCACAAGATCAGAGGTCACATTCTTTGGGGGAAAGCCTCGTGTAGCTCCGCCTCTTTATGGAGCATGAGTGAGGGCGTAACAATCCGCATACTGTTTTGAACCATATGTAGAATATAGGTATTGTCACATAATCGCTAATATTGACGTCATGTTAAGAAACAGCGGTAGGACTACATTTTTCGTACGTGACTTGGCGTGTTTTGACGAGATTAAGGTGTAATCGTCTTGAAGCTGACAAAGGTACAAGGCCTTGGTGTATGACACAGGGATGCGACGGCAGTGAAATCATGAAGTTAATTAACAGCAGGAGAGTGTGTATAAGTGGCATCTGCAGCGACATCAACACGTCCAACAGGGGAAGTGCACTCGAGGTAAAAATATCCTCAATAGAAAAAACAGGAAGAATAAAGCTTAATATATTTCTCAAAATAGTTTTTCGGATAACTTCCCCATTTTTGCATTTCTTTCAAGAGAAGTAATTGTGCGTTCCCCAACAGCCAAGACAACAACACATACAGTTAGCAGCATAACAGCATACAGCAAAAGTAAGGTGATCACACCACAAGAGATTAACTGAATCAATGTACAGATCTAACTGAGTCAACGTACAAACAGAGATTAACTGAATCAATGTACAGATCTAACTGAGTCAACGTACAAACAGAGATTAACTGAATCAATGTACAGATCTAACTGAGTCAACGTACAAACGGAGATTAACTGAATCAATGTACAGATCTAACTGAGTCAACGTACAAACAGAGATTAACTGAATCAATGTACAGATCTAACTGAGTCAACGTACAAACAGAGATTAACTGAATCAATGTACAGATCTAACTGAGTCAACGTACAAACAGAGAATAACTGAGACAATTAATTGAGTCAACGCACCACAAGAGATTAACTGAGTCAACGCACCGTCAGAGACTTAAAAAAGTCCCCGCACCATCAGTGATTACCTGAGCCAATGCACCACAAGAGATTAACAAAGTCAACGCACAATTAGAGATTAGCTTGGTGACACGTCAAACCATTACTTATGACCACAGGTGATTGCAGCTGGTCAAAGCTGAATAAGCCGTCGGTATACTCAGTCAAAAGTTTAGACATCGCTACAATACAACTAACAAATCGCAGTGACAGTTAGATGACATAGGCCTATATCTATTGTGTATCAGGTCGGATGGTCTGAGAGTTTGGTCTGAAGAAACCCATTTCTTGGACTCCCTGGGGGTTTCAGGGATATGATTGGTGTCCTATACTTTACATGTAAGTCATGACTTCGCGACTGACTGCGTGTCATCGTGACCCGCTGTGGGGTGGATCGTTGC